CAAGTTATAATTTCTTTGGTAACTTAATACATCAATAAAATAAAATAAAAATTAAACAAAAATCATCATGTTTTTAAGGAAAATTCAAACAATTAGATTTTCTTCTAACAAGTTTCAAACTTCGAAAGTTTTAAATTCGAGAAGGGTTGAAATAAGTTATTAAATTAGAGGAAGATTATCTTTAATTAATGTGATCCAAAAACGCTTTAAAAAATTGCATTGAACCTGATAAATATTCACGTGCTTCCATGCATCATTAACTTTTCTTGGTAACAGTTTTAGTCAAATTTAAAGACGTTTTATCTGTGGTTAATTTCCGGATCATCAAGTTTCTTAATCTTCTTCCCGTAATTTGCAAGAAATAAAACTATTTCCAATTATAATCACAGTACTGTACAGCCTGCAGTGCTTAGATTACGCTCAAAATTAACTCGAATAAACAACTACAAAGTGATTAACAGTACTTGGTTGAGGATACCAACAAGTCCCGATATGCACAGGTTGTGGGTTTTTAACTTTTTTGGATAATCAAGGGTGAGAGAGTGAGAGCTTTAAAAGAAAAGAAAAAGGAAGTTAAGGAACTAATTTTCTTTATTAAAGTATCATTTTTTAACAATGTAAAAACTAGCTATGATGGCTCAAGAGAACCAATAGCGTCTCACTAGCTACTTGTATATATTAAAAAAAAATTCGTCTATTTTTCTTTTCTTTTATGATCATATATATATATACACACACACACAATTCATAATCAATAATTAAATATTTAGAGGCTATCATTTATAGTTCATAATGACAGAATAGACGCATCATATTATCACAAAAAAATTTATTGACCATCACTATAAGAAATTGTTTATTAGTAATATTAAAGTTTGTATTAAGCCAAATTACCTAAACAATATAAACAATTGATTTTTTTGGTGATTTACTGTTTATATAAAAATAAAATACTATAGCATATTTTTAAATCATCCTATAATAATTTTATATCATAGCTTAGTTGGTAGCATGTGAGAAAGAGCCTCAAGGTCTCATGTTTGAATCTTGTTAGCAGCATCATCTTCAAACAGATATGCTGTGTGTGAATTTTTTTAACATTTTTGGAACTCTGGAGATTTTTTTCAAGTTTCATTGACTTTTTAGTTTTGATATAATTTTTAAATATCATTATAAATTTTTATTATGTATTTGATATAAAATAATAACATTGATAATAAGTTGTTCATGAAAATTCAATTCAAGTCTTCATCATTTATTTTAAAAAAATTTAAATAGATCTTTAACATGATGTTATCACATTTATGATGTATTTAACTTTCAATCACATATAAAATATAAAAAATATTATTTAAATATTTTTAAAAAATTTCTTTAACAATCATAAAATACTTGTTTTAAATCTTACATCATTGTCCGAGTGGTTAAGTTATATGTGAATATTCTTTGACTTGGGCCCCATAGGTTTTACTCCATTTTTCTGAGGTAAACTTTATGTGGATGTTATCTCTTTATTTATTTTTTCAATATTGGGTTAAGAATGAAATTTTCTTTCATATAATTCCAAATTTATTAAATGATACCTCGACTTACTTTTTAATTTCCTTTTTTAGGGGACTTTATGTTTTTCAGTTTTTTTCCCTTCACGATTCATTTGTGTTTTTCTTGGTAAACTTTATGTAGACCCTTATATATTTTTTCCAATAATAAGTCAAGATTGCCAAAAGTTTCCATGTAATTTCAAATTCATTAAATTCACTCTTTAATTTTTTTTTAAGAGTGTTTAATAATATTATGTTACAAAAAAGAGAGTTTATAATTACTTAAAAAAATAAAAATAAAAAACTCTCATACTCCTGGATTTTTTTTGTCCTTTAATTTTTTTTGTTATTTATTTTTATTTTTATTCTAAAACATTAGATTTTTATTGGATTTTTGTATTTTTTTTCTTTTTATTTTTTTCTTCAATATTTAATTGATTTTGAATTACTCTTCATGTATTATTTTAGTTTATTTTCAATGGAATTATCAAGATTTCAAATAAATACTCTATCATTTGATGAGTGCTTTGTTGTTTTTCCTTTTCTTTTGGATTTAGATTTATATTTAAATGTATCATAAAAAACTATTAATTAATTTAGTAATGTTTTTCATATAATATTATAATTTTTTATAGGAATTTTAACATTCCTATCCAATTATTATGTGCCTAATATATGAAAAAAACTCATGAATATTTTATTAACATAAAATTTATATTTTTTTAAGAATTTAATTTTATCACTATCTTTTTCTTCAATTATATATAAAATACAGAGATTTTGTTTCAATGTTTTATTCTAAACTTATTTTAAACCATAATGAGTTATTTTTAGGAAAGTATACTTTTAATTTATAAAATATCATGATATTAGATTGGTAATTGGTTTTGCTACCATCTATTTTTTTATTATATTATTAAATAAAAAATAACTTTAAAAAAATCAAACCACAAATATCAAATAAATTGCGAAGACAAGATTGGATAACTACAAATACATGCAAAACAAAAAAAAAAATGAAAATACATCACCTCACAAACCTTCTAAACATGTGCAAAAACAATATCAATAATTAACTTGCCTCCAATTGGTGGGTCCAAACTACAAATTTATTCACCATATTTGAGCTGCCACGTGTCCATTTATGCACTAAAGTATACAAAGGCACACACGATACCTTGCCCGAGTTCACGACACTACAAACGACTTTGTCGGCTGTAACGTTCATGCTACAAGTCGTTCAGTTCTTCGGACGTAACCATGAAAAAAAACCGTAGTCTAGCTTTGGCTTCTTCCATCAATAACAGCGTTGCTCTTTTACTGTGTCGTTTACTGTGGATGTAGTTACACGATACTGTAAACTATGACAATGTGCTAGCGATTTTGTTATTTGAAGTAAATTTTGGGTGGAGGATAATTTCATCTGATATCATTGTAACGACCTCCACTCTTTATAACTTACAAATACAAATATCATAATTTAATATTAGAGTGATTTTTATTTTTTATTTTTTATCAAAATTTTTTAGAGTTTTCTTTTATATCTCAGTTCCATATTTACACGGACAGTTAATTAAGTATGTGTGTATATATTCAGATTCAATAAATTAATTAAATACATATGTTATAGTTTTAAAAAAATAAAACATACTAGACCACATAATATACTATAGAAGCTTTTCTAAGTTAAATTACAATATCTTAGTTTTTAAATTTTTTATTACAACAAAAAATAATTTCCAAAAAATTTACACATACCAACCAAATTATATCATAAACAAAAGATGTTTGAAAATTAATTAACATCCTGAATTAATTAAATACATACATTATCGTCTGAAAATTTATAACAATATAATATTTTCCTCAAATTACTCTTTAAGAGCCCTAACTAAAAAAATCCAATTTCAGGAATAAAACTAGAGTTTATTCCATAAAATTTATATTATTGGATTTAAAATTTCTTACCAAGCATGAAAGTGAACTTCAAATATTAACCAACTGAGATTTTTGGAACCTCAAATTTCTCCCCCCAAAATTTTTCCTTTGATTTATGATGAAATTCAATCGATTTCAAGAGAAAAAAAATTTAAATCCTTTTCCTCTTCCTCTAGCAGCAGGCGGCCACCGACGAAGAAGAGTAATAAAATTTTCTTTCTTTTTTTCTTTTTTATTCATATTTTACCCTTTTTATAAATGCTTAACATCCTCATGTTATTTATTTATTTATTAATTCTTTTAATCCATTAAAAGTTGCTACATTAATTTTCTTAATCTTTCTTGTTCCCAGGGTAAATTTTCTACATAAATTCCCTTTTTTTTTACTAGATAATGTAAAAATAAACTAACCGGGGTTCTTATTGGGCATATTATCAAAACACTATTATAATAAATAATAATACGAGTTTTAGGCAATATAAGTTTTTCCTTCACTTTTAGTTTTTTTCTAATTATATTTTCACATGCTTTTGAACTACATATCTTTCAAGAAAAAAAAAAACAACAAGAAGAAGAAAAAGAACACAATTTTTTTTATATTTTTTAATTTTTGAAAATAAAATTTTTAATACATCTTTGTAATACTCTATAAGTTCAAAAATAAAAATATTTTGTTATTAAAATATAAATTAAATATGCCCATGTAAAAAGTTGCTTGACTTAAACCAAATGAAGCTAAAGATAATGATGCATTGAATTAGTTTTTATAATTAAATTATAAATTTAATATGTTTAATAATATTTTTATTTTAATTATATAATAAAAAAATAAATATCTATCCTATATCATGGCTTTAAAAAATACCTTAATAAATAAGCATGTAAAAGATGTAATTAAAGAAAAAAGGGGAGGAGGACCACCGCCATTCAGTTGCTCGTCGATACGAAATTAACTTTCTACACGTTATCATGGTTGAGAAGCCGAAGTGTTTTTGAAACAAAATCATGTTCGTCAGTGAAAACTAAAATTAAACTCAAGTTTGGTCAATGGAGACAAATCCGAGGTGTCCCTGTTGACGATGAGGCCTCAGTCTTCCACGTACTCGCGGCTCCATTACGTCAATGGTTAATGGAATTAAATTCATCTTGTAAATTAAGTTTAGTTGCTTTTCCAAGATAAAAAGATATCTTGGAGAAACACTAGAGTAAGTTAATATATTTTTAATATGATTATATTATATTTATAATTTTTCTAGTTCTTATAAACATATTATTTTTTATTTTTTAAAACTATTTTAACATTCATATAATATTTTAACTTAACTAGAATCTATAAATTACTAGTGTAAAAAAAAATATGAATATATTTTATTGTAAAGATAAAAATAAAATAATAAAAAGACAAAGATGGAAAGATAGAGAGATATATATATTTTTTTCTTTTTCATAAACACTTCATAAACGCGTCCTAAATATTAAAATGATTAACATAATAACAATAATCAATTAACGGATTTTGTTTATTTATTTTCTAACAAAAACTATTTAAATCGCTAGATTCGTTTTTGCAAATATGGTGAATTTACTCAGCGTACCGTCCGGTACCTTCTTTAACCAGAGATCCTACCTTACTTGTGCCCATCACCACAACCCCCTCTCTCTTTAAGAGACATCACAAACATCAAGAACACAACTCCACTCGACACGCTCTTTCATCTCTCGCCACCACCAGCAGCCGGGAAAGTAAAATTCTGATGATGTTTCCACTCTCAAACCCTTCATCTTCACCTGAATCCCAAATCAAGAAATCAAAAACTCCACTTGATGTCCGAAGGAAAGACTCTTTCAAGTCACCTAAAGCGTTTCTTGCTGCTCATTACCCTTCCATAAACCAACCTCGGTTATGCCTTTTCCTTTCCATCTTCTTCATTCAAATCCTCCTCCTCGTCGCTCTCCGCTCCATTCCTCGTTCTTTCCAGCATCGCCTCCACCACTTCCCAGCTCCCGTCACTGCCCACCACCACCTCACTCCAACCCTCACCACCACCACCGCCTCCTTCCCCGCCAGCACAGTGAAAGGGGAGACATCCTGCGAGTTTGGTGAAATCTTTGTCTACGATCTTCCGAGTGCTTTGAACCACGAATTGGTTAACAATTGTGATGAATTGAACCCTTGGAGTTCGAGCTGTGCCGCGTTGTCGAATGACGGATTTGGCCCTGTGGCCGCTGGAATTTCCAGCGTTGTACCGGAAAATCTTGCTGCTGCTTGGTACTGGACTGATCAGTTTGTCACTGAAGTTCTTTTCCACAACAGAATTTTGAATCATAAGTGTAGAACTAAAGACCCCAACAATGGGACAGCCTTTTACATTCCATTCTACGTTGGACTCGCTGTCGGCAAATTTCTATGGCTCAAAAACTCATCCGCTGAAGAACGTGATTTTCACTGCGAAATGATGCTCAAGTGGGTTCAAGACCAGCCGTATTTTACAAGAAATGATGGATGGGATCATTTCTTGACGATGGGAAGGATATCCTGGGATTTTAGACGGTCCAGGGACGAGGAATGGGGTTCGAGTTGCATTCACAAGCCAGGTATGCGAAACATTACTCGTCTTTTGATCGAGCGAAATCCCTGGGATTATTTTGATGTTGGTGTTCCTTATCCTACGGGATTCCACCCTCGATCAGACAATGATGTTGTCGAATGGCAGGATTTTGTCCGAAATCGTAACAGGAAGAGTCTTTTCTGTTTTGCTGGTGCTAAACGTAGCAAAATCAAGGATGATTTTCGAGGGCTGCTGTTGAATCATTGTAGGAACGAGTCTGATTCATGCCGAGTTGTGGATTGTGCTGGTTCTAAATGTTCTAATGGAACTTCGATAATTCTTGAAACGTT